CTGTTCAACATCCTACAGTGCACAGGACGGCCCTCACCACAGAGTATGATCCAGCCCAAATGTCAGTTTTGCTGAAATCCTGGCTGTACTCAATAACATGACATGACACAAATCACACGTTTTTACAGACTCTTGAAATAAATTTGTGAGGCATTTCCAGGGCAGGCACACAGCCACCTTCCTCCTGTCCTTCCCTGTCTCCTGCCTTCACACTGTAGTCTGTGAACAGCTGTGCTCAGCCGCTCCCTTGCTTGGCTCATGGCTGTTCCAAGAACCGTTTTCCAAGCACATCACAGCTTCCTGAGGACACCTTGAGACATTTTATTGCAGGGAGATTATTTCACATTTATAATTGATTCACAAGCCCTTTTTCGTAATATCCTGATGCAGACACAGCCTGGAGACGAACTGGGTGCCCTGGATAATTGTCCGAGCCCCTGAAGTTTCCAGGACAGTTCATCGCTGACTTCCAAATGCTGGACACATTACAGTTTATAATGTACCCTAAAGTGCAGGGCACTTTTCAGCTTATAACTGACCCCATAGTTTATAACTGACCCCAAGTGCACGGAACTCTCCAGTTTATAACCGATCCCCAAGTGTTGGGCATGCTACAGTGTATACATGACCCACAAGTGCTGGGCATAATATAGTCACCGTATCACAGTGTAATCATTGGGGTCTTCCACTTTTTTGCTGACTGTCCACTTCACCAAGCATGCTGTCCTTCCCCAGACCCTGCTGACGATGTGTACGAAGGTCGTGAACCAAATCTTGGCATCTGCATTTCTAAGGAGCATTCTGGTTCTATCTCTCCTAAGACGTGTTCATTCTTTCAGCGTTGCGTAACACAGCCGACATTCTTCTAATGCGTCGTGTTTTTGTCAGCTGACCTGGCGTTGGTTCCAACTCACGCTGCCCCATGCACAATAGTAGGAAACGTTGCCCAGATCCTCCGGGATCCTCACGATTGTTGGCACATTTGAGCCCATCGTAGCAGCCATGGGGTTAATCCTGATTTTAGATGACCCTCCGATTTACCAAAGACGATGTCCTCTTTTAGCAGTTGGTAGAGACGGAGCTCTGGTAGCGTAGTGGTTACGAATCGGGCTGCGAACCTTAAGGTCTGTGGTTCGAAAATACCAGGCGCTCCGCGGGAGAAAGATGAGGCTTTCTACTCCCGTAAAGATTTACACCCTCAGAAACCCTGTACAGGGTCGCTATGGGTCGGAACCGACTCGATGGCACTTAACAACAACAACAACAGAGACGTGTCTGCAGTAAGCAAGCTGACATCTCACCATCCTCTCTCTTCGGAGAGGTGTTAGGTGGTTGCTTCTTCAACACTGAGTTGCCCATTCTCCTGCATCCCATGATCCTTACTTCCTAGAGCGCTCTGGTGGTCTCTCCTCTCAGACTGATTTCCTACATCCTAGGACTGAGACATGAGTGTCTGCAGGCCACTGAGGCAGGTGTTACCCGCTCCTTAAAATGATGCCTCGTCCCAGAGATGGTTCCCAAGCACCTACCCATGAAGAGGCGTCAGGCATCCCCAGAAGGGCCCAGGTCCCCCGACACTGAGAGATAACCGGCTGGAGTCCGGTCTCCACATCCCTGGGCAGCTCTCCTGTCCCCTTCATACCCTGGGGTGATGACAACCGCACGCAGGAGCCTCTGACACCGGACTGCACACATTCCTGGAACCACAGTGATGGTGCTGGTTCAGCAGAGCCCACCAGGCAGGCTGGACACCGGGGAAGAAGTGGGGGCCGGCAGGGCCTCATGCACATGTGTGGGGGTGCCTTCTTTCCTGGGCCAGCCGAGGTCACCTGTGGGATTTCTGTGTGTCTCTGCCTTTATCTATGTATCTGTGTGTCCTTCTGTTTCTGTCTCTATCTCGGAGTCTTGGTTCCTCTATTTCTGTCTCTCTCTGTTGATAACTATCTCTATCACTCTGTCTCTGTTTCTCTCTGTCTCTCTTGATCTCTGAGTCTTGGAACAAGTACACCCAGAGTGCTCCTTAGAAGCCAAGATAACGAGACTTAATCCCTCATACTTTGGACATATTGTCAGGAGGGATCAGTCCCTGGAGAAGGACATCTTGTATTGGTAAAGAGGAGGGTCAGTGAAAAAGAGGAAGACCCCCAACGAGATGGATTGGCATAGCTCAAGCATAACAATTGTGAGGTTGGTGTAGGACCAAGCAGTGTTTTGCTCTGTGCTGCACAGGGTCGGTAACGACTCAATGACACCTAACTATAACAACATGTGTTTAAAATGGTACTAATTCTTGGGAGTTTCCCTTATAAAACTCTGATGCATAAGAGTTGAAGAGCAAAGATGTCAGTTGGAGGACTAAGGCACACCCTGCCCCAATCCATGGTATTTTCAATAACCTCATATGCATGCGAAAGCGGGACAATAAATACAGAAGACCGTAGAAGAACTGATGCCTTTGAGTTACGGTGTTGGAGGAGAACATTACGAGTACCGTGGACTACGAGAAGAACCAACAGATCTGTGTTGGAAGAAGTGCAGCCAGAGTGCACCGTGGAGGCCAGGATGCACACACTTTGTCTCTCATACTTCGGACATATTGTCACGAGGGACCAGTCGCTGGAGAAGGCTATCATGCTTGGTAAAGTGGATGGTTAGTGAAAAAGAGGAAGACCCCCAACAAGATTCATTGGCACAGTGGCAGCAGTGATGGGCTCAAGTGTGGCAACGATTTTGAGGTTGGCACAGGACTGGGCAGTGTTTCGTTCTGTGGTGCACGGGGTCCCCATGAGGCAGAGCCAACTTGGCAGCTCCCAGCAACAACACAACACAGTCAAATAAGAATATCGAACACACCATGGACTTCCTGAAGAATGAGCAAATCCGTCTTAGAAGAAACACAACCACGACACTCCCGAGAATTGAGGATGGTTGAGACCTGCTCGCTGATTTCAGACACGCCATTAGGGAAGACCTACGGACGTGGGGGTGCCGGTGAGTCCTAAGCCCAAGACCGGCCCCTTGATTCCTTTCTTTGTGGAGGGAGGGCCCTGAGTAACAGATTTTGTGAGATCTGAAACAAAAACACAGGGACCCTGGTTCCAATTTTATAAAGATTTCCGGGACAGCAGTGTCCTGCGGATTGTACGGCTTCCTGCGTGATCGCCAAAAGTAGTGCAGACGTCGCCGTTGGTCCCACGAAATCGGGTTCATTCAGCGGGAAGTGACCGACATCCACCAAGAGACACATCCATATCCTCACCGCCGGGGTCTTTGCAAAGAGCGGCATCATCAGGGTGGGTGTTTGGCAGCTGGATAATGCAGTATCTTACCGCCTCCCCAAATAGAGGCAAAGACAACAGCCTTGGAAACACTGTGGAGCAGTTCCACTCTGCCTTACGCTGTGGCTCTGAGTCTGAAATGGAAATCATCTGGCCAGCAGCAGGCAATATTTATACAAGCAGACTGTGCCATCTCTCTCCTGTGGGGTGGATGATGGGGTTCCAACAACCCACCTTTTGGTTAGCACCCGAGTTCTCAACCACCGCTACCAGAGTCCCCTTCTGTCAAGATTAACCCCAAACTCCAAACCCACTGATTAACCCCATATAGTACCAGACAGCCACATCTTTCTCCTGTGGATGCTGGTGGATTCGAACTGACAACCTTGCTTAACCCACTGTACTACCAGGGGAAAATGCCTATCCTGTTTTGACTCATGCCTCCTGGTCCCCCGGAACCGAGTAAAGAAGACGACCTTGGATGAAAAGTTGTAATGATTCTTGGCACCTGCAACCACACAGAGAAGCAGCGTGGCGTCTTAGGGCCAAAAAGTTTACCCCCCTCGTCCACATTCTCTGAGTTCTGCTCAATGTTTACTTAACTCGTTCTTTTAATTGGCTATGATTTTCCAGTACTGGGCAGTCGGTCACAGAAAGCTCTGGAGGCTACTGGGCATTGGATATGTCAGCCCTGTGAGACTGTGAGACTCAGGGAGCAGCAGGCTGGCTCTGCAGTCTGGGCAGAGGGGAGCGGCTACCGCACGATGCCATCCTGGAAGACGTCCCGGATGCCGGTCATTTCACAGCTGCGAACCCATAGCTCTCGCTGAAGTGCTTCATCGTATGTGATCTCCAGGGACCTGGTCTCTTTCTCGTTGTAAAGGTACCGCCCACCAACTCCCTCGAGTTCGGGGGCTACGGCTGCGTAGATGGATGTCCGAGCCCCTTCATCGGGTGTCTGCAGGGATAAGAAGAGAAGACAGTGAGGTCAGAGCTCAGAGGGGACACTACTCCCCAAAACAAAACAAAAAAAAACCCAACTGCCAACCCCACAGCCAATGAATGAGCTGGTTTTGTAAAGGGTTTCACAGAAGCAGAAAATCTCCTTTCTCAGTTGGAGTGGCTGGTGGGTTTGAACCACTGATCCTGCAGTTTGCAGTCCAATGATTATCCTACAGAACCCCCAATCCTAGAAATCCTATTAAACTCTGGTTCATGGTAACACTAAGTGTCAAGAAGAACTGGGTTTTCATTGGCTCATGTTTCTGGAGATCACCAGGTCTTTCTTCTGAGGAAACTGTCTAGGTGAATGGGAACCTTTTCATGAGCAGCTGTGGACATTAACCATTTTACTACCCAAGAATGCCCATGCCATCTTCCAAATCACAAACCGGTTTCCATGGCGTTGGCTCTGACTCATAGCACCCCTGTGTGTGTCAGAACAGAACTGATCTCCACGGGGTTTTCACTGGATGATTTTTCAAAAGGAGATTGCCAGACCTTTCTTCCTACGCATCTGAGTGAACTCAAACCACAACCAAAGGTCCTGTGTTCATATTACTGTTGAGAAAATCCTGAGAAGTTCTTATAGAATGGTTGGTTTTGGGGGGGGGGGGGGAAATGCGATAGCCAGGTCTTTCTTCCAAAGCACCTCGGGGTGGACTTAACCCACCAACTTGTCGGTTAGCAGTGGATTGCTTTAACCATTCTGCCACCAGATCTCCTGCATTGATATTATTGTTGAAAAAATTCTGAAAAGTTCTAATAGAATGGCTGATTTTATTTATTTATTTTTTTTTTTAATTACCAGGTCTTTCTTCCTAAACACTTCTGGGTAGACTCAAACCCCTCACCTTTTGGTTAGCAGTGGTGTGCTTTAACCACTGTGCCACCTGTACTCCTGCCTTCATATTACTGTGGAGAAAATAATGAGACGTTCATAGAGTGGTTGGTTTGTGGGGGCGGGGGCAGGAGATACCTAGGATTTTCTTGAGGCAACTCTTTATGTACTGAAACCACCCCCCACCGCCACATTACCTTTTTGTGGGTAACAACCAATCACTTAACTATTTAAACCACCTACCCCTAAGCCTGTAGATGTGGCCTGCTTTGAAGACCTGCTTTTGTTAAGTGAATGAGGTTCTATCAGTGTTGTTGTTGTTGTTATGTGCTGTGGAGTCGGTTCCGACCCATAGCGACCCCGAACAGGGTTTCCGAGGCTGTAAATCTTTATGGGAGCAGAAAGCCTCATCTTTCTCCCGTGGAACAGCTGGGAGTTTCGAACTGCTGACCTTGAGGTTCACAGCCTGATTCGTAACCACTATGCTACCAGAGCTATCAGTATAGGGAGTCAGTCCTACTGTAGCACTATAGGATAAGCACTGGGCTGCTAACTTCAAGGTCAGCAGTTCAAATCCACCAGCTGCTCCTCAGAAACTGTACGCAGGGTCGCTGTGAGTCAGAACCGACTCTATGGCATTTAACAACATCTGTGCAGGTGGACCCTAAATCTAACCGCTTCTGATTTATGAAAAACAGTGTATATTAGACACAGTGAGAATCTTCTATAGAAAGAGGACCCTGGCATGTCCAGGGTTACAGAGTAGTAGAAATCCAGAGAACCGGTGTCCTCACTTGGGTCCACCCTGTGAATTGTGGGGATAAACTATTCCACTCCTAAATCTGCCCACACACAGTGTTTGTACTATGGGGGCACCAGGAGACTCAGATGTTCACATGTTGTTCTTGGCACTGATACAGATTCTCTTGGGTGAGACCTGCTATGTGTGCCAACAGGGTTTATAAACATGATTGGAAAATCAGAACCCCACTGTGCAGACAGTGGTCCTCACCGATAACCTTGTATCTTACCAACAGACATTGACCATAATGAACGTCCAAGTACGATTGCTTCTCAACGGTGGGCTAATGCCTTTCAAGTGACAAATGGATATTGAAATCCCAGATGGGAGCATTGGTTAGACGTTCAAGTCGACTCAGACATGCTTTGTTAAGAGATACCAGATCTACCTGTGAAAACCAGTGGAGCACAGTTCTACTCTGACACACATGGGGGCGCTGTAAGTTGGCTTCATCTCAGTAGCAGATGGTTTGGAATCCACTGGGTGGTGCAAAGGGTAAATAGCTAGGCTGATATACAGAAGTTCCTCGGAAGAAATGACTGGCAATCAACTCCAAAACCATCAGCCCTTGGAAACCCCGTGGCATGCCTTTCTGCTCTAGCCACACACACGGAGGTGTCATGAGTCACAATCTATTTGATGACGACAGGTTTTAGTAGGACTATGAGCTGTCGGTCACTTCACAGAAATCTTGCTTTTCACTATCCAGAGGAACCTCGGAAGAAAGGTCTGGCAATCATGAAGATGGCATAGGACTGGGCAGCTGGCTTCAGGGCACTAAACAGCAAAAGTTTTGCAGACACGTTCTTAAATGAGCTGCTCTGAGAAGTTTATTCTGTAAGACAGCAATGATCTCTTCTAGGGAACTTGAAAATTAATGTTGAGAGCCGGCACGGTACCCCAGACTGTTCCACACAATGCAGACCAGTCTGCTTCAGTAAGAGGGGCTCTATCTACCGTTGCTCCTTTCATTGGAAATAGAATACGGGATATATTTGACTCTCTGTTTCTGTAGACAAAGGAGCCCTGGTAATACAATGGCTAAGCACCTGCCTGTTAACCTAAAGGTCGGTAGTTCAAACTTACTCAGTGATTCCCCGTTGATTCATGCCTGAAAAGAAGAGTCTAGGCAAACCTATGGGGCCGTTTTACTCTTCCACATATGTAACAAGGCGATAATACTGTTTGCAGGGGATGTGTGCATGATACATTGTTTTGCGTGTTTAAGGAGGAGTTGGCAGATGTTGGTCCTGGTCATTGGTCCATGATAAGTTCCCTGGAGGTGTGCAAATGGTTTGCTACTTAGTAACCTAAAGGTTGGTAGATCAAACCCTCAAAGAGGGTCTGCGAGAGAAAGATCTGGTGATCTGTTCCCGTTAAGATGACAATCTAGGAAACCCCATGGGGCAGTTCTATTGTCACATACACAGTTACTGATGAGTGATTATCTACTTCCGGTTTCTCAACAACAACAAAACCCCTGTCTGTTTCAACCTTGTTAATTACCTTGATGTTCTAATCTCCCCCCTTGTTAATTACCGAGGAGCTATGCAGGATGGTAACAAATTGATACAGTGTTTGTGAGAGAGCATGTTGGTGATACATTGTTTTTAAGGAAGAACCTTGCAGATGGCTAAATGATAAGATCGCTGCATGCGCCAACAGTTTGCCATTAACTACTCCATACAGAACCTACCAGACCGTGAATCACATGGTCTGCGGTCCAAGCCCACCAGCGAGCGGCTCTGTGGGAGAAAGATGAGGCTTTCTACACCCTTGAAGATTTAAAGCATCCAAAACCTTATACAGGGTTGATGTGAGTCAGAACTGAGTCCATGGCACTTAACAACAACTAACCCAAAGACTCTGTAGGAGACAGATCTGGATATCTTCCCCCTGCTAGACCCCAAGGAGATGTTCCATTCTGTCATGTGGGGTCCCTGAGTGGGAATCGAGTCGACAGCACCCAACAACAAGGAACTGACCAGATAACCTGGGGCAGTGAACTAAGGGTTGTGAGGTTGAACCCATTGAGTGGTGCAGCAGAAGAAAGGCCTGGCAACCTTCTCCCATAAAGGTTTAAAAAACCAAAACCCACTGCCGTGCCGCCGAGTCGATTCCCACTCCCAACAACCCTAAAGGACAGAGAAGACTGTCAACCTCTACGGAAACAGATGGCCTCATCATTCTTCCGCACAGTGGCTGGTGGGTTCGAATAGCCGACTATAAGGTCAGCAGTCCGACATTTACCATACTGAACTTCCAGGGTCCAACAAACACAGATGACAGCCTAGGACACCTGATGAGGCAGCTCCTGGTGTGGGACTGTAGGATAAGCACTGGACTACTAACCACAAGTCTGGCAGTTTAAACCCACCAGCCACTCCTCGGAAACCCCGTACAGAGTTGCTAAGAGTCAGAACTGACTCAACAGCACTTAACAACAACAACAAAACAAAAATGTGCCATCAAACCCAAGACCTGAGTATATCACGTACCATTGACACCCACTGACTTTGAGATGAGAGAAAGAAGAGGAAGGGTCGGCTGGTCTGAAGTTTAGGGAGTTGTGTGAATGCTCAAGCCCGAGGACCCTGACCTACACACTGGGGGCTAGAGCTGAGAGTGAAGCAGTCAGCTGCTCTGAAGCACAGGGAGGCATGCAAGACCTCCCAAACTTGCAGCTGGTACCCAGGTGCCCTAGCTTGGATGGCTAGCTGACCAGAACTCGACCGGATGAAGATAAAGCAGTCTGACACTGTGAGTAAGCATAAATGGCTACAATTGGATGAACAGGACCTTTGCTTACAAATGCAGCTGCTCAAATCTCCAACCGAACTGGAAGATTTCTTCATATCAAGGATCAAGCTTGATCGGGGTTGATAGGGACGGACAGTTTAGACATGGTCTATCAGCAATGGGACAATAAAGGCACAAGACCTTTTGAAAGTGTTGAAGAGCAAAGATGTCAGCTTGAGGACTAAGGTGCACCTGACCCAAGCCATGGTGTTTTCAATAGCCTCATATGCATGCGAAAGCATATATAAGGAAGACCATAGAAGAATTGATGCTTTTGAGTTATGGTATTGGAGGAGAATATTGAAAGTGCCATGGGCTGCCAAAAGAACCAACAGATCTGTGTTGGAAGAAGTGCAGCCAGAGTGCTCCTTGGAGGCCAGGATGGCCAAACTTCGTCTCTCATACTTAGGACATATTGTCAGGAGGGACCAGTTGCTGCAGAAAGATATCATGTTTGGTAAGGTGGAGGGTCAGAGAAAAAGAGGAAGACCCCCAACAAGATGGATTGGCCAAGTGG